CATTGAGACTCACCGTAGAGTGCTGACTTCACGGATCAACTGAGGGTCATTCAGTCATTAAGGATCATATTTCACTCTTAAAAAGCACTGAAGAAGTTGAAAACTCTTACATTAGGGTCAAATAAGGTCGCTGATATTGCTTTATAAAACTCGCACTTTACAGCGCTCTTTCCTTGTGTTATGCCAGATGTAAAGTAACCACGATCATCTTATATATAAAGCTGAATGTCTGTTTGTATGTATGTCTGTATGTATGTATGTGTGTACGTATGTTCCGAATAGAAAATTCCATTTCTGAACCGATCCGGACCAAACTTGGCACACATACACTACGGGCCCCGGCGGGTGTCATAGGCTACTTTTCGTCATCGATCGATATCGATTTTATCGATTTTTATCGATTTTTTTGCTGAGTTCACCTACGGGGCTGGGAGTTGGCACAGGGGGGTAATCGAGCATGGGGATTCCGAATACAATATTGGTTTTCAGGATTATCGATTACTTTTATTGATTTTATCGATTTTTTTGCAAAGTTTGAGCTACGGGGCTGGGAGTTGGCACAGGGGGGTAATCGAGCATAGGGATTCCGAATACAATATTGGTTTTCAGGATTATCGATTACTTTTATTGATTTTATCGATTTTTTGCAAAGTTTGAGCTACGGGGCTGGGAGTTCGCACAGGGGGGTAATCGAGCATGGGGATTCCGAATACAATATTGGTTTTCGGGATTATCGATTACTTTTATCGATTTTATCGATTTTTTGCAAAGTTTGAGCTAGGGGGCTGGGAGTTGGCACAGGGGGGTAATCGAGCATGCTGATCATCCCCAAGGGGGGTGATCAGCATGCTCGATTACACCCCTGTGCCAAATTCCAGCCCCCTAGCTCAAATTTTCAAAAAATCGATAAAATCGATAAAAGTAATGGACGATCTTGAAAACTAATATTGTATTCGTAATCTGCATGCTCGATTACCCCCTGTGCAAACTCCCAGCCCCGCAGGTCAAACTTTACAAAAAAAATCGATAAAATCGATAAAAGTAATGGACGATCCTGAAAACTAATATTGTGTTCGTAATCAGCATGCTCGATTACCCCCTGTGCAAAATCCCAGCCTCGCATGTCAAAATTTACAAAAAATCGAGAAAATCAACAAAAGTAACCGATAATTCTGAAAACTAATATTGTATTCGGAATCCCCATGCTCACTTCCCCCCTGTGCCAACTCCTAGCCCTGTAGGTGAACTCTGCGAAAAAATCGATAAAAATCGGTAAAATCGACATCGATCGATAACGAAAAGTGGACTGTGACACCCGCCGGAGCCCGAAGTGTATGTGTGCCAAGTTTGGTCCGGATACGGCGGAGCCGGGTAAGCCAGCTAGTGGCTTAGTAATAACGGGAAGGTTGTTTACGTCTGTTTCTCTGTTTAGATATCCGTCTGTCACGAAATTCTTAAGACGAGTTGCAGCCAAGCTTTTGCGCTACAATTTTGGTCATGGCCCCCAATCAGCGTGTATAAACTGTGCAAAAGCACAAGCTGATCCAGAAAGTGGAACCACTGAAACTGTGCATCCAACGGATCCGCGGGACTTTCGGCGCTCTAAAGTTTTTCTGTAATTGAACTTCTTCCAAAGTCGTGGATTTGCTGAAAGTACATCCGCAAACCATGGACACCAGCACGAAAAGTGAACAAAAAGTCTACTTTCACGCAAGACGGCGCCAAAAATGAATAATTGAGTAGGGAATCGATCTGTCAAGATTTTACCCAACAAGGGAACGATCCCAACTCAAGGTGGCAAACTGGAATGAGTCGCATATCAATATGCGTCTTGGTGAACTGATTCCAAATCTATCATTTACATTTGCGATGCTGATCTTAGGAAGAAGTTATGAGCGGTTAAATTTGTGAACTCACTGTGGTTTCAGTGTATAATGTGCTTTGAAATTCAACTTGAAATTGCATGGCCAGTATGATATTGAGTGTACTGATTTCAAGGAATGTTCACAAAACACAAAGAAGTGTTTTTAATCAACTAATTCTTGAGGTATGGCGTTGTATAGTTGCCAAAATTGGACTTTTCATTGCTCATAGCTTTTACCAAAGAACTTTGATTGTCTTTTAGTTGTTTAAAAACACTTATTTGTGTTTTTTTTTGGATGTGAGCATTCCCTGGAATCAGTACACACAATCATGCTAGTCATACACTCCCAAGTTAGATTTTGAAGATTATGCACTGAAACCCGAATGCCTTCACATTTTCAACCGCTCATAACCTTTTGTAGAGAACGGCATCGCAGACATGAAAGGTAGTTTTGGAATCAGATCAAGACGCATCTGTTAATGTGCGGTTCATCCAATCCACCACCTTAAGTTGGGATCGTTCCATTATTAGATGTTTTGGTCTCTCATAGGCGTCTTACTGACATAAATTATTCGAATAGTATTCGAAAATCGAGTGATATTCAAAAATTGAATACTATCCGAAAACCGAATAATGTTTGAAACTCGATTAACGAATTATATTCGATAGTCGAATAATATTCGATTCGAAGACTTCCATTTTCGAAGAATGTTTGATAGTCAAACATTCAAAGTTTTCAATTTTCGAGTAATATTCGATAGTCTAGTATTCGAAATTTTCAATTTTCGAATATTATTCGATATTTGAACGAAAAAATCGAATTTTCTCAAATATAGTAAGCCTTTCATCGAGAGACCGCTAAAATAACCACAGAAATGAACCTTATAAGCAGCTCTCACGTGCTTTGAAGCAATGTGAATAATTCCTCACTTACTTTCGTAACACACCAACTTACAGACAAGTCATGACCAGTCATCACCTCTGCTTCGCAGAGATTCACTGGCTCTACTATATCTATTCGTCCTCATCCTGACATCATGATCGCTTTGAACTCACCGCAAAATGCCAACAATTACGAATGAAGCGTAAACAATTACTACTGAGCTGTTCCATGTGGGGAACGGAACTTACCTACCCGAACGAATTGGCGCCATAACCATAGGGGCCATGAGGTGTCAGCAACGCTAATTAGCGCCTTATGCAGAACTGATCTTTACACACAGTAAGCCCCGTACTCATCCAATGAGCATGAACCCCTAATTTCGCAGTAATTTCGAAGTGAAACTTCACTATCGATATATGCCCGGTTAAGGTGAAAGGTGGTAATTAAGGGTTCTCTAAGGTGCTATTCCCAATTATCAACATCTCTGTTCAATTAGCCGAATCTGCAAACTTTTTAGTGTAATTCTTACAATGAATTTCGTTGTGGATTTGGAGGAAATGAAAAGGAAACGAAAAAAATTGCTTTGATTAGGGAAATCGGCTGGATCCAACCGTTTTATCATTATATCCCAACATATTCTATTTAAAAAAAACACCAATGCTCTAGAACTGAAAATGACTCCGGACTGATCAGCTCTCTGCATATAATACTAGTTAGTGTTGCTGACAACTCATGATACCGAAGGTACAATGCGGCAAGTCTTTAGGGTAGGTAAGTTCCCTCACCCGTTCCATGTGAGATCGGCGTCTTTGAGAGAAGCAGCTTATTTGCAAGAGAAGTGCGAATATGAATTAGTTACCGAATTTATCTCGGCTTGACAACCGCCATATTATATCATCGTCTATCATCATATGAAAGCTAAAATAGAGCAATAAGCGCGATATAACGAAAGACTCGGATAGCTACCCGGCATTTCTTTTTCTGTGCAATTTTATTATCGATAGGCAGCTCTCCCGTGTTGAATAGTGTGCCAATTTAGCATAAAAAAGCTCATAATCCGTTTCAAAATGATGCGCCGCAGCTAGCAGTAGCTGTTTGGAACTAGCGTTTCAAGCTGATTACAACCACATATGTCTTTTTTTGAAAGGCGAGTCTAACTTGAGTGCCTCGTTGAAATCAAACTTCACTCTCCTCCTTGCAATCAAAAGTTCATATCTTATGCACTATACCGCTCGCAACCATTAACAAACAACCACCGATATCGATTTCATTTCACTACTTTGCCGGTCCAATATCACCCAGAGTCTTCACACCCGATACATAGTGAACGGGTTTGGAAGGAGGCGACTATGTCGACTAGTGCTTATGACAACAAAGATTTCCATTGTCCTAAACGTTGAGTAGCATCTGAGAATACAGGGTGTCCCGAAAGTATGTATACACTGTTTGATCGTTAACATCTCTCTTACCACGGAGTGTTTTACCTAACTTCAGGAACCATGCAGAACTGACCTCAATTTATTGTTAGATTTACGGTATAGAGCGAACCATTGTCTGCTCTTCATTACTGTACATTACGGTAGAAACTTTTGTCACACAGCGTCATTATGGAGAAGTCGCGTTTCAAAGAAGTTTCAGAATATCTGAAAAGTGGTGTATCAGGAATTCCACGCGCGCTGATTGCATTACTCATTTTTTAGGAGTCTGTAAAGTTTTTCATATGAAATAATTACGAAATTAGAGACCACTGTAAAGACAGTTATTGCGGTTCATTCGGACTGAGTTATGAAGGAAGCGTTGCGGTAAAATTCGAAGTTTGTACTGGTTTTAGCAGCTCTGACTAGCCTAGTTTAGGAGTTTTAGGTTGTTTGGTTTGCTTTTTGAGGCGAATTAGAGCCCTCAATCGCTCAATACCTTTCCTGGAGTTTCTAACGTAATCCTACAGTAATAAAGAATGATCGGTGATTCGCTCCATACTTTAAAATTAAGTTAATCCATCTCTTTAAAATGGTACTTGAAGGTGGGCAAAAGACTTCTAGGGAAGAGAGATATTAACGATCAAACATGTATACATATGTATGATGTATACATACTTTTGGGACACCCTGTATTCCGCATAACTCAAATACTCAGGCGTTGTTTCAAGCTTCATTTTAACACTATTTACAAAATGATCTTAGTATACATTGTAAAGCAGTTTAGATTCTGCAAGAAACATTCAAATATTTATAACAATCTCGATCAAAAAAAATTGCAGTAAGTTTGAAGTTGGCTTGTATTTTTATTGTTGGACAGCTATTTGTTTCAAATTGCTTCACTCACACACTAGTTTTTCTAAAAGGCAAAAAATTACATGTTTAAGAAGATGTCAAATTTATATTCATACTTTGTGCGTTACAGCCGAAAATTGTTATTTGCCTCTTCATGGCTCCTTTCATCAGAACTTGTGTTTGTCATTTGTTCCTTCGAATTTCTCTCTTTTTGTTTTGAGATTCCTTCCTGGGAATCTGCTATATAGGCGAGTTTTTGTAATTGGGCCAATTGTTTGCCAGGTTTTGATTCCTCTTCACTCTCAAGTCTCTCTTTAGATGTACCATTTTTTCTCACCCGTTCTTTCGAACTACGTTTGGAGCGTGAGTCAGTAAAGGACTTAAATATATTCAACGCTCTTGATGTGATCGGTAATAAAGATCTTGGCACAAACTTCTTTGAGCTTTGCGTAACATCGCTTGCATTTTCCAACTTATTTGTTTGTTCTGATTGTGTACTTTGACTGACGCTCAATCCTCCTTGAGATACATTTTTACTTGCTGGCGTTGAAGAAGGTGCACTGAATTTATCCAGTTTCGATTTCTCTGATATATTTGAGTGTCTGTTACGCGGAGTAGCGAACGGCGAATTTTCTCGTGGCGCACTCTTGCCTGTTGGTTCTTGTCTTGAACTACGACTGCCTGGAGTCGTCGTACTTCTCTTTTCTTCCTTTATGATCTCTCGCGAAGTACTATAACTTTCCGATGGATTCTTCTGCTTGACTTTTCTGAAGCTTTCATTCCTGATGCTCTTCCTCGTTACTGAACTCGTTGGAACACTTGTCGACAGAGGGGTTTCTGTCACAACACTCCGAGATCTTGTGTCTTTCGTGGTAATCACGCTTCCGCTTGGAAACAATTTCCGCCGTGCCAAAGCATCTTGTACATACTTGCACTGAAAAACTTATTTGAATCACTCTAGTTACTCGCAAAAATGTTATCTATTCCTTAACAGAGTTAATTCAGTACACTTTCGTATCTTAGAAACCGTATTAAATCTTGCTCTCTACAAGCAGTGACCTTACAAATTAGAAATCATTTTAATTTTGCCTTGCTTTCACTGGCGGAAAAAGTTAGATAGTTCTTTTATCTTTTCGGCTTATACGATACTGAGCGCGTTTCCGCGGCTGAAAAAGATTCTTTGAAAGGGTTTATCAAGGAGCTACTCTCTGGCACATTGAAATCTTTTAAAATGTGGTTTCAAGTAGTAAAAGTAATATGGCGGTAATTTGGTGTGATAATCGTCATGAAGATAATAGTCGTTTTGGCTACATTTATTACATGCAAAAATCTTTTCAGATTTTGGGTAGAAGCTGACAAATTGACTAGCTATACGATCACCACTTTTTGGCGCTGTTTTCGCAGAAAAGCAAACTTTTAAGCACTTTTTAGATTACAGAATTTTTAGTATACTGGAATTCATGGAGCGCAGTCTACTTGTCAGGCAAATCATGAATCTGCAAAAAGTTACATTAGCGACCTAGTTTTGCATGCCAAAAGCCGCGTGGACTCGTAAGCGTAAATTTTGAAGGACCCGCTCATCAAACTGGCTCATCCTTGTGCATAGTGGATCTACATGCTGGTACGGTATGCTATGCAAAATTGTAGCTCAAAAGCTTGGCTGTAGCTCTCTCTATAAATTTCATGACAGACGGACATACACACACGCACAAAAAAGACAGACGCTTAGCGCTTTATCACATACTCAATAGCTTTGAAATGCAATGAAAAATCGCAATTTTATCTTTGTAAAACTTCAGAGAGCAAATTTACAACACAAAGTATTTCTAGTAGTATAGTGATTGGTTTGCCACTTTGCTCTGACATGTTCAATAATTTTGCGTTTTCTCAATCTTCTAACAATGGGAAAGGAGAACAATACTAGAGAAGGTAGAACTGAGAATTTACATGAGATTTGGCTGACAAAGAATTGGGGACATTTTTTCGTGGTAGAAAGCTTTTGTTGTTCCGAATGTGAGCAAGTTTGTACATGTGAGAATGCGAAAAAATTCAAAAGCTAAATTACGTGAGGGCCAGGCCAAAGTTTTTTGGATTAATTATGGTATCAATTTGTCAAACCTTCCTCCTACGTCGTCTCGCTTGTGTGTAATGCAATCGTGTAGAATCCGCATAATTTTGCAAAAAACTTGCAGTGGTAAAGAATCCATAATATGTAGGAGCAGATCCCAGTGCACAAAGTACTATAACAATGATATTTCGATGCAAGCAAAAGCGGAAGGACGAAGCAGTGCACTTATGGCCATCCATAGTCCTTGCGTTGGCGAGGCAATCCACTTGTAAACATACGCGCCTAATCCAAGCCATATCTTCGGCAAACTCTCGCATCTTGGCGTATAGTGCTCGAGAAGGTTCTAAACAAAAAAGCGTTCAATTTCTAGACGAAAGAGCGTTCCCCTCTATAAAACAAGAACTTTGCTAGGGTACCTTCATATCGCGCTGGCTGTCGCCGCTAGCCGCCTTGAGCCACTTTTTGCTTGCCGGGAGCGAGTCATGGCATTTTTACCGAATGGAAAATGTTGATACAGTTTTGTGTCTGTTATGTATCATGTTTGAGATTTACTTGAAACGAGAGCGTACTACATGAGGCAAACTATACCAATCCTCTTGATTTACTTCTTCCACTCTAAAATCAAACGCAGCATCACGACAAGTTTTGTTTTGTTTTTGAATCGGATGAAATGAATGAAGAGGATGAGTATGCATTGAAGTTGATGGTGAGGTCGGCAATTCCTTATTCTTCTCGTTGGAAAAAAGAAGTTTTGCAGACAAGATCTTCTCTGCAAAAGCAGTAGGAAGGAAGTGGGACATCTCTGTGAGGTATAACGAAAGGTATGCTGTGGGTAGAGCATAAAAAGAGGTGGCTTAGCTAAAGCATACCGGGAAAAGAGTCGATGCAAATGCATATGAGAAAAAGGGGGTCAAGGCGAACTGATCACAATTCGAAGGACTGAATTAACTATTCATAATCATTTTAGACAAGACAGATCACAAACGAGAACTGGCCTTTTTCCGTATGCTTTAGCTGAAGATTGCTCTTTAGCTAAAGCTTAAAAAGCAATCAGATAATGATGACAGTGTTTATTACGATAATGTTTGAGAGCCAAATTGCACATGAGCAATAATAAGAAAAGAATGTGGGAAAACGAGCAGACGTGAATGGCTGCATTGGAGTGTAGTGGAAATGCGATAATTCCGCACTTCCTTGGGAACGAAGTGATGGCTGTGATAAACTGCTGGCGGCTACGACCAGGCCGCTAGCAAACCGCCAGCACGATGTGCAAATACCTTGAAGGCAGTGTCTAGCTACTTGTTTCCTGAAGTGCTCGGCGGGCCAACTGCATCGGCTTGCAAGATTTTGGCGGGAACCCATTACGGGCAGGCCCACACACAAAAACAATCGGATGCAAGCTGGTCTGGACAAGAACGTCTCAGCCACAAGTTCACATCTCTGTGGCCCTCTTGGGCAGTGTCTTAGGCCCTCAAAACCGGTTTTTACATGAAAATATGTGTCCAGATTTGCCTAAACGTTGTTTTTAAAAGGCAGTGTTCAGGCAAATCGGTCACGTGAGGTTTTTGCCTGGAAACTTATGAGGGGTCCTAACTAAGGCACTGCCCAACCGGAGTGCAAAAAATTTATTCACGGCTGAGAAATCCGTGTCGAAACCCTACGCTCTTGCGCCGTGACCGTAATGGGTCACTTAGAATGGGTCCTAGCGCAAACGTTATGTCAAAGTGAGCGAAGTCGTTTTCGGGTTACGGTCGCGGCGCAGGCGCGGGGTTTTGGGGACGGATTTCTCAGCCATGAGTGAACCATTTGCCCTGCCGGTTGGGCAGTGCGCTAGTTAGGACCCCCTCATCAATTTCCAGGCAAAAATCCCTTGAGCCCAGATTTGCCAGGACCCTGCCTCAAAGTTCTCAACTTACAAAAAAAGTTCTAAGCATTTCTGCAATAAGTACGTGTAGATTAGCTTCATGGGATCTTGTCTCTTCGGCTATTGTCCTTCTGTATGGGGAAATCAAGATCTTCGACATCTAAATATGATATCCTAAGAACGATGTTATTCTTATGCAAATATAAAGTTACATTGCCGTATCTGTGTATTCTATTTGTTTGCATTTTCAGGAATATATATCTCAAAACCAACCCGGACTGATCTCTACACACATACGCTTTGGGTTGAGGCGATAGTTCAGGCTAATTCTCAATGTTAGTTTACGGATATCATTGCTTTACTTTAAACTAGGAGGCCTGAGACCAGGTGTGTCACAGAGGTTATTGGAGGCACTCTGGACGTCAAAAGGAAAACAAAGGGTTGCTTTATACTGCCGCACTGACCGCAGCAGACTGCAGCAGACTGCAGCGACCGCTGCCTCCTTTCGTAAAAGAAAAACAACCACGATTACCAAAACAGCGTGATTTACGCCTGAATAACATAAGTTCCATCACAATTCTTCTCAACCAAATTTTGGCTATAGTTTTTCTTTGGTATGTTCGTATTTGTTCTAATTCCTCCTATCATAGCATATACCTGTTTTGTAACATTCTAGACCGTGTTGTCTTGGTTTTAGGTATATACTGTTGTTGTTTGTTTAAGCCACAACTATTTATCCTTACCACCTTTAGGCTTCAGCCGCTGCCGCCGTTTGCAGTCAGTGCGGTGCTGCAGTCTACTGTAGTCTGCTGCAGTCTGGTGCAGTCAATGCAGTCAGTGCGGCAGTATGAAAAACAAAGAAAACTTTGCGAACTAGCACCACTACTAAGACCTCCAGACAAGCTCATTTTAACTTTTTGACACCCAAGAACTTGGAGGCAAGGCGCACTTACAGTTTTTTGTTTGCAGCGTAAAGACAACGACAAGACGGATTCAAAATATTATATACACAGTATCACTATCAACAACAATAGAATAACAAAAGCTTATGCGAATCAAAACCCTTTTCCAAATTACTTATCCCTCAAGGTGCGACCATGAGCTGTGAGCATGCATCTCCATTCGGAGCACTCGAAATTCTTTTTGGAATGCTTTAGGTTCTTGAAATTTCTGCGGGCCCAAGCTGCAATTTTTGCGGGCTGCCGAGTCCCCCGAAAAACTTTTTAAGAGGCCAATTTATTTTTATAAATTCTATTATAATGCTCTTTACAGTGTAAGCAGGTGAGTCGCACAATTTTATAACTTAAATAGGTGACTTTTAAAAATCTCGTGACCCATTCTGGGAGAGGGAATGGGGGAGGGGGGCTATGTTCCGTGGGACTGATATTTACTGTGCTTATCAAATTTTTCGTTCTTCAAACATCCTTGTAAGCTAATTTCAAAAATCAGATGTCGGTAAAGCATATTATAAAATCTGGTCGTCTGAACAACCTGTCAGTGCCTTTATCAGGCCCACTCATCTTTCTTATTGTTTGCCTACAAAACGGAGTATGAAAGCTATTTAGCAGCAAGTGTCGAAGGAAGAAATTAACACGTATAAAAACATTCACTTCCAAGACCCTTCCCCTTATCCTGTCCTCCTCGAGATCGGTAAGCGGCAAACGTTGAGGAGCTCGTTAGCCGTGGAGCGGGCTGGCGCAACCCTCAGCCATAATTGGCAATCGACTAAAGTAAATCAATTTTGCTTCTCTATGTTTAGAAACTTCTCTTTTCTGGTTTTCTATCAATACGATGTCATAGGAATTTAGCCGTATATTTGAGACTTTTTGTTCCCTTAACCATTCTGATCTTCGGTCCTTTGACAACTCTGATATGTGTTCTGAAAGAGAATTTGCACTTTGCACTGCTCTATTGCTGCCATTTTTTGTCTGATACAACTTTTTCTGTGTGAACAAACCAGCGGCCGGAGTAGGCTCGGTTTTTGGGGTTCGTTCGGCTATCTGACATTTGTGTGGTCTCGCGACCAGTTGGGTAAGCTTATCCGGGGTGGAACTCTACTAATCATGAATACCGGTCTCATGGGATAAGCCTACCCACTGGGCTGTTGATGTAGACGGCCAGAGTGAAAGCATAGCAAGTCAGCAAGCACTAAGAAACTGAGACACTTGCACTCCAAAAACTCGGTCTTACCCGAAGCATTGTTTGTGGACTGTACACCACTAATGATGAGGAACACAGCAACCGTGTAAAAATAGTCATTGTTATTTCGCGATCATGCACAACATCTATCGATACTGGCTCTAGACTTGCAAAGAGTTGCTAAAGATCAATGCGGACTATGAGCTTTTCATTTTTGTGTCGAGCTTTCCGCACTTCAGCATTACGGTCAGAATAGATATTCAGCCTTAAAGGTTCTTTTGTAACAATATTTTCTAAAGTGGAAATTTCACCAAAGAGTCATGCGATATTGGGAATAAATGTGACCGGAAGAAGATTTTTAGAATAGAAAAAAAGACGAGCGCTTTTGTCGAACAAATTTAGGGGTAACATAAGTATCAACTACTCATGTCATCTCCCTCTTGCCCAACGATGGACGTTCAGGTCAGAAACCAGTGTCTAGTAGGCAGAGGTAAGGAAACTGAATCAGAATTGAGATGAAGTAAGACTGTGATGATGGATTCGCGAGAGAAAATTTGATTGAGTAGCCATATCCTAGCTTGGACATTACATGAAATGAGATATTATTAGCTGTCAGACACCAAGATAGCTGACACCAGGATACTTGGCAAAGGTAGACGATTGCCACCCGGCTAGAGAATTGCGCTAACGCGCTCCGTGGCTAACGAGCCCCTCAACGTTTGCCGCTTACCGGATCTCGTCCCCCTCTCCCTCCCCCCATCTTTACGAAAATTTCCGTGATCGCTGCAGGCATTCGTTGGACTGCCAGACAACGAATTGAATCACGTTAACACGTTTCGGAGCGGTGCTGCACATGGTGCAGCACGCTGCTTTGGAAGATCTTTCTGACCTTTACAGGAAGTATTTCTTTAGTCGAAGGTTACAAATCAAAGGCCTGAGCTTCTAATTTTCGAATGACTCTGTAGAGTTGCGCCGCCGATACTTGTTTAGGAGATATGAGCACAAGTCGAACAACTTGCACGAAGTGCGGCAACGCGAACGATACGTGCGACGTCGCAACTTCTCTTTGCCTCGATATCAAAGAGAAAAACCGTAGTTTTAATACTGATGTGTACAGTGTACAACAAAGATACTTTTGGACACTATTAAAAACTGAGTCCTTGTTCCTGTCATTCAGGAAAGCACAGAAATCTTTCTCAAGCGACAAAATTTAAACACTTCAAATTTACTCAGAACTTCGGGTATGGAACTTATTTGACAAGCTGCTTACATATGTAGCACATAGTCCACGAAATAAGGTCCCTTTGCTGGCTAATGGCTGAAAGTGCACTCTTGCCGCGCCCGATTTCGGTCCGAAACGTGTTAAGCGAGGCTTTACGCAAGCGGGACGAATTATGGTCGCAGTCCGCAGTTTGCATAAAGCGCTGCCGCTCTGCGTCCACCAGTCCAAAGCCTGCTCTCGTCAGCGCTCCCAATATTACTTATGGCGTCAACTTATGTATTTGTTGCCCCCTCCCCACCCTCCAGTCCTACATCGTGCACTTTAGCACCTATCGGCATAAAATATGAGCGCGACATGCGCGACCGTTGTGCGCGGTGTGATTCCTTACGTGTGGTGGTGGTAGGGAGCGGTCACACGTCACTTTTGTGAAGAAATCGTCGGGCCAGCCGCGTTTGCGAGAAACTTTGCTGAAAAGACTCGAAAATGACTTTATCTACTGCTTTTCTCTTAGACAGCATCCATATTTCGCCTATGTTTTAGACATTTTATGGAACCAATACAAAAGTTTGCTATAAAACAAGAAGTTTCCTTGTCGACTCTTGACTGCTCAAATCGGTTAATTGCTTGACATCGTCAAGATGTCAAGCTGTCGACCGGATGAAACATATCAGACTGCTTTTCTCCCAAAACCACCCGTTTATGAAACCAATACAAAATTTTGCCACAGTAAAAACAAAAAATCCTTTTCGACTGCTTGACTGCTCAAATTAAACGACTGCTTGACTGCTTGAGATCGTCCAGATGAATAAATCTAGCACTCTCCTAAATGTCAGACTGCTCTTCTCCCAAGACCGCATCCATATTTCGCCGATGTTTCAGA